TTTGACTTCTGCTTTCTAATTTCTTCAAATGCCAGAGCTCACTAACCTTCCCTGTAAAAACCCTGCCGTCAGTGCTATGAGGATCTGCACCACGGATATGTTTGTCAGCATGGCCTTTAAACTTCGAACAATGTGAGAACTTCTGGAAATAAGAGTTCAGGTAATTGTTATAAGCAGAAAAAGGAAATTAATAAGGTTTCTAGTGGAATTGGCTACAAGACTTCTTCAAGAACTGCCCCTCATATGAGATATTTGAAATGAAAACACAACTTCGGAATTTCGGCACTAACCGCCAACGCTAGAAACGTGAAATATGTGAGACTTTTAACGCCTCTTCGTTTTCCTCCAAAGAAAAGTTGAATTGTCCGTGTTGATAAGCTCCTCGACGTTTTATTCGAGATAACCATATTGTTAGAAGAAGCTTACTTATATGTTATGAGATATATCAGTAATACATTGAGAAACCCTGCCACTGTAACGAATATAGCGTAATAGCAATTGACAATGAGCGAGTCGAAATATACGAAACTCATATCGAATCTGAAAGTTTACTGATTTGCACGACTTCAACTTTTCCCCCTACTAATTGAATGGTACTTGAATGACAGTAATCAGTGGATTTTCGAGTTTATTCAGAAAAAAAGCAAAATGGACGAACTGATCCATGAAGCTCAGGAAGTGGTTTACTGGATCGACAGAACTAAATAATTTATTATTCGATGAACCAGATCAAACTGTAGAATTCGTACAAAACGGACATTGTGGCCGTGTTTTATTTGTCATACCTAGCCTAGACCGCTTACGAACTCTGCGTTGATCCTGAGATCTTCAGAAGTCTGACGCTAGGAGTCCCTTCCATTTTGCAAAGTTTCGTCGAATTTTTTTTTGTTTTTTTTTCATTAGCAGCTGAATTATTTTTATATTTTTGAGGTAATCAATCAAACCATGCGATTGAATTTACTTTTGAGCAACGTCACGCTCAAAAGTATGCTCATTGCAAAGCTTCCAACATCAATGGTATTGGATCGGTAAGAAAACTCTGACTATAAAGATAAGCCGATTTCCCCGTCTAGCAGATAAGGCCAGGGAGTGGTAAGGAAGGGATTTATCCAAGATGTTGTATTTATTTTGAGAATGGATAGCTAATATATAGCCATAACTAAACATAACTAATATATAGTTGTAACTTCCCATATATTGCTACAGCTATGCGGAATGGTCAGAATTGCTATTGATGAAGGGTTTCTGCGATTACGTTTCTGCGATTACGGCAGGAAAATGATCTGAGGAAGACTTTGTTCAGTCAGAACTGATAGCATCGAGATAAGTTGAACGACTTCTGAATCCTGAAAAGTAGAGCTATTCCTTTGGGCCGTGACTTTTACTTGTAAATGTGCCCAGTAATTAGAGAGCCGTTCGAACTTCTACATACGAACTGACGGCATAAGACACGCATTTGTTGCAGGAATTCTCTAGATGATAGGCATAGGGTAAGACAGGATTGGCAGAGTCGACAAATTCTCTGCTACTGTTAGCTTAGAAAATAGCTATATATGTTCATAAGCATGAGCTATGTAGGGTGGAAAGGGAGCAACAGGCAGCTACCTTTGACTGTTTTGTTGGATTGTCGTGATACATTCTTTTACTACATTTCGTGTCGAGCAATTACCGGGCTCGAAAACTTGTTTATGGAAATTGTTTTGACGTTTGAGCTATGAATGCTCAAATCATGACGAATGTCTATCGGCCGATCACAGTTTGTAGCTGCATTTTACCGTATTCGTGGAGCATATAAGGTAGCATTTACATTTGCCACACAATGGAAAAGTAGTTGGCAACACAATCTCAGGATACTGTGATCAGTGTGAGCGCTTTTGAAGCTGCCTAAGTTAAAAATTAGGTTCCCATATCCAATAGTGAATTGGTCCGACCGTTTACTACGTTAGCAGGATCAGGGCACAAACTGATCTGAGTGTTGACTAATGAAGAGCTAGAAGACAAAAGTGGCATTCAGACACTTACGACCGAATTGAGAGAATCTGCTCGTAGGCCCCGTAGGCACCAATACGTCTTCCTTTTGCCTGCCCTCACGACCGCGATTGTGGGACCATTTCATTAAGTGGTATCTATAGATCGATTGCTCAGAATTGCCACTACTTCACTGACGGGTTTGCTGTTTTCCAATGCATGAGTCATAAAGACTGGATGTATACGTTGAGATCTCTTCTCACACTTGCCTTCATCCCCATAGTAGTTGAGCTGAATAGTGTGATTGAAAGGTACAATTCGCTTATTCATTTGTACCTTCCAATCACGCTCGTAAGGCATCTGCACAATCATTTATGAACTCACGATTTTCTGACATTTCTAACTTAGCGATTGCAATTTGGAACATTTTGCGATCAGATCATCTTAAACCCTGCAGTGTTTAAGGTTATACTGTTGGTAGGCTTCAAGCGTTTTCAAGGTTAGACGCTTGTGATAAAATTTGAAAATCGGCGAGGCAGTCACATTTACAAAATTTATTATCAAGCAGACTACTTGGATGGGATCTATTAATCGGAATTCTCCCAATTCTCCTCCATACTTGAATATAGTGGATTTAGAGAATGAAGGTCGTTTTCGGGTTATTCTTCACCACCTTACGGACGCAGAACTATGAAATAGAACAATGTTATGGGAAAATGAGGAAATTTCGGAAGTTCAGACTTCAGAAAACAGCGTAACAGCAGTTGACAATGAGTGGGTTGAAATCATTGAATTACATCAAGGATCTGAAAGTTTCTGACTTTGTATGACTTCGTCGATCTTCACAAGCTGCTTCTTCACAAGAAGGGAGACCGGGATGATCTTCGCAATTACCACCGAATAGGCTTGTTAAGCGTTCTTTACAAGCTGTTCACGAAGATCATTCTAACCTGCATATCGCGAACGTTGGATGAAGCTCAACCTGTAGAGCAGGCCAGATTCCGGAAGGGATTCAGCACAGCACAAGTCACAGAGCGCTCGAGCGATGCCTTTTGAGGTTCAATCGGCTCACTCAATATCGAGCCGGACTCCGCAGCTCCAACATGCGCAGAATGTCTCGACTCCGCGATCCCGTGGAATACATGAAGAACGCAAAATTTCGCTGGGCCGGTCATATAATGAGAAGAGATGATGGAAGATGGACAAGAAGGACAGTCGAGTGGGCTCCCGTAGGATTTTCGCCATCTAAGGGTAGGCCTGCTGCGAGATGGGGGATGTGCTTGTCGATCACGTGAAGCAGCTGCGACAGCAGCTGAACGACTCCTCACATCGTCATCTTCGTCGAATTCTGAGTCTATCGTGGATGGGAAAGACAGAAGCGAATGATTTGTTGCTGGTGCTCGCACATGAGTGAAGACAAGCCGTATAAGTGATAAGTGAGGTGATCCTTGTAAGCAGCATTCCACGTTTCCGGCTTAGTCAGGTTGTTAAAATTCAGTGATAAGCCAGGACTTTTCGATTAGACAGCGAATTTTCCCAAGGATAAATTCTTTTGGGAGCTATTATCTAAGAAAATGATGAATATATCAGCATGTTGGTTTAGAGAGTAAGGTATCCCTTTACTATTGATGCTAGTGTGTTGTTGTTTCAGACGGTATGGGAGGTACCTCTTCGACAGGTCCCATTCTAAACCGTTCATTGTGAGCCACTGAAACATTCAAGAAATGAAGAGTTTTCTTTGTCGAGGACGTTCTCTTTGACGTTCTGTGAGTTCAACTTCGGAAATAGCGTGAAATTAAGTGCTGGACTGGAATTATCGGAGTAAAGATAGATGGATTATTGTAGGAGGCTCATAAACATTAATGAGCAGTACAATACTGCTCTTAATTCTTGGTCAACTGACGGTTTGCGACGGATTGATCCGTCGCAAACTGTCGCATTGCCATAACTTTTGTTAAAGCGCTCCGATCAAGTTGAAAGTATGATCAGCCGAAAGCTCTACTCGTGAAGAATCCAAATAAATAATTATCTTTCGTTTTTCACGAGTTTTTTGCCTTCATTTCCACGAAAAACGGAAAGCGAGTCTCACAGTACCTGGATTGTTACTTGCGGACACGTCAGCATCGTAAACTCCCACTAACAATGAAAACTTCGTTCTTCTGCCTCTGAAATTCACAAATAGCGCTATATTCGATGAGAGCATGAAGTTCCTATCATTTTGATATCCCTCCTGACATAATTTGTCACTTTCAGCTGAATTAGTTTTTCAGTTGACCAGATTTCAAGACATTTGAACTACTTCTTTCCAGCCTTCTATGTTCGAACTTCTACACAATTTCATGACGTGCCAGGACGATTATTGTAAAGCAGCATGTAATATGCTAAAAAATATCAATCTTCGAAAAAATGGCAGATTGAATCACCGAATTAAGCTGAAAGTGTTAAAATTATATCATGAATGATATCGAAATGATCGGGATTCTCTGCTCTCCTCGGATATGGTGCCATTCATGCCTTTTTAAAGCTGAAAACGGAATTTTCAGTTGAACTGGAGTTTTTACGATGCTGTTGTTTCCCCAAGTAACACCCAGGTGCTGAGAGATCATTTTTCATTTTTCATGAAAAAGAAGGCGAAAAATTTAAGAAATTCAAAAATTTATTGTATGGTCAGTTTGTTCACGAACAGGCCTTTCCGCTGATCTTACTTACAACTTGAGGGGAGTACTTGAAGAGAAGTTACAACGAAGCACGGTTTGCGACAGATTAATCCGTCGCAAACCGTCGGTTGACCAAGAATTAGGAGCTGTATTGTACCTCCTCCTCTTGCCTCTTTCCACAGCCGCAACTGTAGGGCCATTTTGTTTGGGAGTGGCTAATGAAGGAGGGTTAAGACACTCCGTAATTCACTAAATTTCTTTTTTTTTGGGCGTGATTTATAAATACGCTCTCTTGTAACCTTCTACCGGTGAGATTCACCTTCCACAAGGCACTTGCACAATCAATCGTAGATTCACCTTACTCTGTCATTATTTATGAAGCGATTACAGTAGTTAAGAGTATTCCACTTTCAAAAACGCATTGAACTCAGCACTGTTTCAAGTGTATGCTACGAGTACGATTAGAGCGGTCTCATGGTTGGACGCCTCAGATATAATACCGGCGAGGTTCCGACAATTGCAAGGACCGCCATCGAGCAGGCACTTGGATGGGATCAGTAAATCGGAGACTCCGCGATCTCAAAACCAGAAGAGTGCAGAGAGTAGAAGAATTAGGACTCTGAGGAATCTTGGCAAGTCGTTTTCCGGATCCTTCTCACAGTCTCATTGTCTTAGTACAGTACTATAGGACGATAGGGACCACATTCGGAGTGAGTTTATCTGATTTACCATTATCTTTGGAATACTATAGGGTGAACGCAGAGTAAGTCAGTTTTGCATACATTTATGGACTAAACATATCCGAGCAAATTTTAATAGGAAATCAACCCCATTTGAATTAGGCCATAGGCGTGGTACAGACGGATGTTATCTAGTCATTTTTCTATTCGAATAACGAAATTCGAAATGAGTTGAGATAAGAGAAAATGGTAAGAGGAGCAGCGTGAACACGAAAAATGTGTACTGAATTGCAATTTGCGATTTAGAAGAGAGCAGTTACGCTTAGATGGGAATATATTCTCCTGGCACCAGAATTATACAAAATTATATTTAATGGGGGTCCATACATTCCAGGATTTTGTAAGTACAGTACTAGTGAATAATGATATTTATTATGAAAATATCGAAAATACACAGTGAACACTTCTTTCGAATATGATTCCGCTGTTCTAATGTTCAGGAAACTGAAACGGGTACCGCAGTCCCTTCCACTATGAAAGTTGTCCTTATTCTTGTGCTGTCTGTTGTGCTCCGCGTTTCTACCTTTCTTGAGTTTAAGCGGCTGCAAAGTTTCTTTTTAACCCATGCTCTGTATGATGGGACGAAGTAAATTGCGATCAGAGGATCAATCACACATGGTAGTGCCCCAACGGCAAGCAAAAGATATTCGATTAAAGCAATTTCCGATCCAGAAATTTTTGCGAAAATACCAAGTGAAGCTGTTGTCACGAAGCAACAAATCGGAACCATAGCTTGCACTGTGAAAGCCTGAAAGAAGTTTCAATTGTCATTCATTCGCAGAGGTGTTCGGGAATTTTAAGACTTTAAGGCCCTCCAGCTCTCAACTCGAACGAGGCTCGAATTCCACCACACACCCACTCTTAACTGGGCTGGCAGGATTACGGGACAAAATCGGTTCCTATACTTATAACCAGCACTCTACATCTGGTCGGACTACTGCAGTTCAATGGTTAGTTTTAAGTTTTTGGTGATTTGTGAGCTTATTCACTAGGCATACGTATTTGGAAGCTTCACTATGCCAGGAAAATGGTATGTATGTCATTCACTCACTTAGTAGAAAAGCACAACATCATTAAACGCTCCAGACAGTTGTTATTAAGAGAGATAAAAAGAGCATATTACCAGCAATTTTAATCTCGAAGGAAAGAACCTCTTAACACCCCATTTTTGGGTTTTATTGAGTCTAGGGTCGAATTTGAGATCTAATCGACTGCTGGAATGGGCCAAAGGCTGGGTCACTCAACAAATCATCTGATGTGAATTGCGACCACCTGTTGCTTCTCCTCTCTGTCACTGTAACACTGTCCACTGTAACATCTTTGCTGTCAACCCCTTTGTAGCTGCTCTCTATCGTTTTGTTGGGTCATCAACATTGGATGTTCCATATAGAAGCTTTTATCACAACATATCGTTACCTCTTATCGATACCAGTTATGCCTTCGCGTCCTCTGTTCATAGTCTCTCAGTCCACATCATGGTTCATGGATGTATTGACCACAATACCGAGCGCTTCCATTTACCACCCTACTGACGTGGAATTAACGGTACTACCGCCACATGGGTCTGCACATTTCTCGCGTGACAGTCTCACGATCATTCGTCAGCCCCCTTTTTTCGCCATTTTCGCCAAGTAGCTCTTGAAAATTTGCTCCAACATAGAGCGATTTACCTTTAAGAACATTTTAGAACTTTGCTTTGTACTCTCTGAATACTGCCGGAACGACTTAAGGGTCCTCAGTGTCAGGCGTCTGAGGTAAAGTATAAGAATAGGTGAAGCAGTAACAATCGAGAAGCTCATCAGCGCACAAGCTCCATGGTTAGGTTCTGTAGATTGGAAGCCTCCAAACTCTCCATACCTGAATATAAAAGAGATTACTAAGAGAACGACCTCTGTCATCGTCTTTCTTGAAACCTGAGCATTTGTTATTCTTGAGCGTGCTGAACGGGCTACTTTGCAAAAGTGCATTTTTTTTCAAGCTAAGTTTTCGACTAATTCGTAACTGGTGAGATCTCAGAATATTTCGAAGCTTTGAGCTTTCACGCTTTACATCACCCTTGATGCGGACTGACTCTTGACCTGTAGCACCGTTGGACAAACATACTTCAAAACAGGTTTGGAACCCCACCAATGGGCTACCAACTCGATCCCATGAAAGTCGTGCCTCTACTCAGTTTTACTCGTGACGTCACAATTTGAAGAGCTGTAATGCTTATGTTGAGTGCACGATACCGGCTCACAAGAACAATATGGGTGCTTGGACAGCTCATGAAGCTTTTTGGATGAAACGCCGCAAAGCAAGAATGGGTGCGTGATCTCTGGTTCCAAATCCAAAGCTTAGCGTAAAAGGCCACATGTGACGATATGTCTGCTTTCGCGACTGGATAGTCTCCCGTGCTTCATTCTTGCGGAAGTTGTGCAAGCGCTATTTTTGTTGGTAGAATTGGTAAGAGTAGACCATTACTGGGGTTTTCACTTTGTTTTAAGCTCGTTGTCCCTACATGCACTAGTTAGGAGTGAGCTGCGCGATGGGAATATTCCAAGAAGGTTTCAAAACACTTTCAGGCTTTTGAAGACGACGAATTGTGAGGTGTTTCTCAATCCAAGACATATTTGTCGCAGAAGATCTGAATTCACTAACGAATTCAACGAATTCAGTGAGTTACGAGGTGGATTCAAAGGCAAACCTACCTCTTCAGGTTGTAATTGGGATGATCACCAATTCCTTCTTCCATGACAATATCAAAGCGTTGAGATGTTATTTGTGGCAAAACCTCAAAAAATCGAACATTTC